GCGCACGTGTCCTGCACCAAACAATACACATTTTTTGCGATACGACATTCAAATGATAGTACTACCGAGTCTACCGACTAATGAATCCTATTTACATCTCTTTCTTTTCAATAATACTTCTTATAAGTGAGAGTGGGAGGGGAGATATGACAGTTGGCTACGTATGGCGTCTGCCGTAGCCATATGTTGCTTGAGGTTTCGAAAATTACCCTCAAGTTCATTTTTAAAAATGGCGATATTTACGTCAGTCGGTTTTGTCTATTCATTACGGTTTGTATGACACGCGAGCCTTAATCGGGATGACAGACCTTATAGTGAAAAAGGTTTTGGACTAAGCACCCGTGCCATAGTGTATAAAATTTAATGGTCCTTACAACGACATTCATATTTGATTTTTTCATCGGATTAGAATTGCAATTACTTATAATTTGTCTACTTTTTGCCAGTAATGTCGTTGGTTGATATTTGGTCACTAGCTATGACGAGTGAGACTGCTGCAAAAACCACAAAAGGATTTTCAAATATTTTTGTACATTAACATTTTTAAATGCATAAAAGACTGATGACTGTTGATGAAGAGAAAGAGGTATGTAAAAATCGTATCAATAAACCATAGTCTTGGTACCCCCATGGGAGACTAGGTCAAAGTCAAATTCTAGTGACGTCATAGGTATTTCCTCCATAATGATTGAACTATAAAGACAAAACTTTAAAAATAATACCGTTACCTTACATACCGGATATGTAACGATACCCACAAAATCATTCGAACCGTCACCAAATCTATAAATAGAACTCCACAAACCCCTATTTCTAATACTTTTACTATTCGATGCATAACCAATCAAATATAATGATGGTATTAAAACTCACAATTATATCAACCCTTGAATGGTTTCGATCAAATTGAAAATTGTTGGCTCGTGTCAATACACGGTCATAGATCGAATATTTTGAAAAAAAGGAAAAACGAACGGCTTTTGTTTTCTGTTTTTTTTAATGAGGAATTAAATTGGATTTTTTTTGTTTTCGTGGTTAGTTTAATAATTGTAACTTTGGTTTAACCGTAAAGATGCTTTTACTATGTATCTATTAATATTAAGGAGACATTTTTGTTTTACAGAAACGTGAAGTGTAAGTGCCAGGTAACAGCTAGACCATCTATAAAAATATACTTAAAACAAATATTAGTTATTTAATTTATAGATTAAAGTATAATGACAGCCACAGTTATTTTTCCATGATTATGATATCAAACGAAACCCTTCACTTTATTTAATGTCCACTCAATAAAAAGTGGTAACTTAAAACCTTTTTAAATACATAAACTTTGAGGGAAAGTAAAAAAAGACTATAATTTTGTTTAGTTTAAACAAAGTACTTTAATTCTAGGAAAAAAAGTATCATCAAGGTGAAACAAAAAAAGGTGATCGACAATATCAAAGGTACCGATGTGGCTAAATAGTGGATCGTTAAATCGAAGCGCGAACTAAGTATAGTTGACTAAATGGACGTTTAACCCTTCGCCGTCCCGTCTCCTAAGTCCGTAACAACAAAATGAATGAGGTTTACGTTTAGTTCAGAGGTTTGGCGTGATTTTAAGAATCGCTTGTTTGTTAGTGAGTTACTTTAATGTTTACATAGGACATGATGTATTCCTTTTAAAAAGCATAAAACTTAACTGATAATAAAAATATAGTCACCGACTCATATTCCTATATCGTCTATTTTTCCCCACTTACCTAAAAGGCTAATAAGTGGTCTGCCACAATTTTTAAATCAATCATACTGAGCTATTTTCAAAATATAATTAGGCCTACTTGCTTTCATAATGTTTTGTAAGCCCTGTTACTCAAAACACATTAAAATTCCATTTCAAAAAATCATGTCGACCTAACGTAAACGCAAACCGGCGCGTTTAACCCGTCGAATCGTTCCTAAAAATTGGATGAAGTCATTTAGAAGCAAAAATCCCATGTTTGTTTAGCATTAAATATTATAATGGGGTCTAAACGACCCGCCGATGGTAAATAAAGGGTTGATTCCGAATTTATTAAGTCAACATTTGGGTGTTTTTTTTCGTAAAATATTTAGCTATAACAGTTTTGATTTGTAAATAAATAATGAAGATATTTGGAGAGTCGTAATACTGAATTAGTTTTTTTTTGTTTCCATGTAGAGGTAAATTACTAATTCCATGTTATACCTACTCGTATATGAGACCTTAAAACCGTAAATGCAAAAAAATAGTAGTTCTATTATTAGTGCACCTTTGTACACGTTATTTCGACGTTTCACTTTGGTATTATAAACGAGGAGTAAAGAGGGGAGGATTTAGAAAAGAATAAAAATATGCTCCCTCTAGAAATCAAACCAAATAAAAATTCCGATTACTATCACGCCGCCAATCATCGGACGGGATGTCAGCGCACAAATCAAAAGTGAGTTATTTAAAAAAAAAACGAGAAATTCATCAATTTTCTTTGGCACGGTAGCGCGACATCCCGCGGTGTGGCCAGTGTCGGCTACCGCGGGGTAGCCACGTGAAAAAAAAAACTAATTGATATGCGAAAAAAAAATGGCGGCTCGTTTCACTTTCTGGGCTTTCGATTTTGCACGCCCACTCAGTGGACGTAACGTGATGTTTGATAGCGTTGGCAGATTTTTTATCGGATTTTGATGCCTGTCATAAAAATATGGATAGGTATCTAACCATACCCCGAATACTGAAAGGCTACTCAATTTTGAAGGAAGAACCTCTCTGTGGTTCGAAACTAGTAGAGCCTTTCTTATTCACGCGAGTAACCCGCGATTTTAGTTAATAAAGAATTTGCTGTAATAGAACTATTATACTTAAGCACGACTTCAAATTGGGTGGGTTTTGAGTGTTTAAGCATGTGCTTTGCAATGGCATTAAAATATATGTCTATTGTTACCAGTTTATTTAAGGTAATTTGCAATATTATCTAAGCCAAAGTATTGTCCACAGAAAAACACGAAGCTAGGATTTTATTTTTCAAAAGTTGCTCTACATTAGGATTTTCTCCTGTGTCGTGGGTGCGTATACAAACATACAATTTCACATACACATGACACTCAGACCCGGAACAACAATCTGTGGATCACACAAAGAGTTGTTCCGTGCGGGAATCGAATCCTCGACACGTGGCACGCCCAGCCACCGCGCCAACTGTGCAGTCACATGTGCCGGTATGTAAAAATATTCTTGTCCTAGTATTAAACTTTTCTCATATTGTTAACTTTAAACCTCATCTCAATTCAGGCGGCTTTTGCTTAACTAACAGAAGAGGTTATCATCATCATCAAAATATAAAGTCATCAGGGTAATTCGCATTACACAATCTCCCACGATATAGCAGGATGTCTTGATTAAGTCATTATGTTCAGTGTTGTTGATGTGTGACAATCAGCTCTGTATTGTTATAAATTCATCTTGTTTGTCTGTCATTTGCAGGATATATTTGCTTTGATTACCGCCAATTGGTGGAGACACGTTTGTTTGTGGGGTTTTTTATTCCAATGTAAAATATATACATAGTATATATAGTATTTTTTAAGGGGCAAAATCTTCGAATGATTGCTCCCGCCTGGGTGAGGCGGGAGGGAGTGTCAGACTCTTACTGACTAAAAACCACCCCGTTACTACTTCTGCACTTCGAGCCGGAGCCCCGGTAACCCGTTAGGTTCTCCGCGACAGTATATATAGTACCTATAGATTGTTTGTAACGTGGAGAACCTCAATTTAAGTTTATTAGCATTATAGTTTTTAGTCGAAAAGAGTGTTCTAAACCGATTAGTTTCATACATTTTTATTGTGTAAAGTCTCAAAAATGTTTCAAAATTATGTAAGGTGATCAATAGAAAGCGTAGAACTATTAATACTGATACCACCTACAACGTAAATGACCTGGTAGGTGGCTTTGATGGCAACTAAATTGAGGCAAATCTTCACATCGTACAAAAATAAGTCAATTAACAAAAAAGTTCCAATCAATTGATTGAAAAAAACCTTTTTTACATTGGCAACCACGCATAATAACACCGCGGGTTGCCCGCGTTCTTTTTGAATTTCAAACAATGGCCTCCAACGGTTCGCGCCCTAAGAATGACATTTGAAGAAAAATAGACAAATTTGAAAAATATACTTTTGTACTTATGCCTCGTCTGTGTCAGAACACGGGCTACCGAATTTACATTAATAATTATTGCGAACGAAATTTTAATTAAATTAATGGATTTTGTTTGATTCGAATACTTTTCAAAATTAATGATAATTTTGTGGATCGGCTTGCTCGCCTTACTGATGAAATATTTAGATGAAATTATAAATGGCATCAGCGTCTTTCCCAGCGTTTATTTGTTACGCTATGAATAATTATTAAAATTAATATTTAAATATTTTACAAAAATCTTTCAACTATATCCTTGTTTTGTATTCAAACCTTTGTTAATCTTTTTAAAGGAAACCAGACAAGCATAAATCTATCAAAGTCAAAAATGAGTGACATCCAACAAGAAATGTAAAAGCACCCAAATTGTTCAAAATAAAAATCCAGTACAAACGGAATGCAACGCAGAATTTACTAGATCACCCAACCGTCCCTTTTAGGGCACGTGTTAGAAGAGACCCTAATAAAAATGTACGTCCTAAGTATTAAAACTCCTTGGTAGAATCAGTGTTCTCAAGATTGAGGGTGTCTTCAAGGTCTGAGTGAATAGGTTGCTAATGGGAAGACGCTCCATCGTCGGCTATAACACCAACAATTTTGCCTGGTTTCATTGGTCTTTTACTTCTTAAACTTATTTTTATTACGTTTCTGAAGTGTGGGATTCTCACTTCACTAAAAATGTTTTGGAGACTACAGTCAGCTCCAGTATATAACGGCATCGGGGCCTTAAAAGAGATTCCGAAGCCTCTACTAGACGATGCTAAAGAACCTGGTAAGAGAATATTAATTAGGTATTTATTTTTGCAGAAGATGGCGTCAGACCTGGTGAGTGACTATACTGAGCTTATGCTGAACAGTCAGTACCGACAGATCCTGTACGGGAAAGAGGGTCTGCCTTCCAAAGTACGATCTCCTTCCGCAGAAACCTTCACTAAGTCCTCGGATGAAAATAACGTGAGATCACAATCACATATTTTATTATTGTCAGCAGCAGGAAGATAGTACTGTAGTTTCTTTATGACTGTGGCACAGTGTTCGTACGGGCTGATAACATAAGGACTGTCATATTGTCAGAAATTGGGTTCAAAAATAAATTATTTCGACTGTTCAATACAATGAAATATTAAAAAATAATCACACTTTCATTAATTGATTTTATGATTAACTTAATTTTAGTATCCATCCAGCAATTTTTTAGTTTAACGCTAAATAAACGTGACGTCACGATACACAATCTCGTACAAAATTCATAGAAAACTGTCGTTTTTTATAGTTCGAAAAAAGTATTGAATTTGACAACTAGTCAAGTACGGAATTAATGGGTTAGGTTCATCGTTTTACTATAATAAGAAATGATACTTATATAGAATTATGAGATGTCTTTTTTTAATAAAATAGGCAATTGATCACACGGATCATCTGGTAGTAAACGAGCAGTGCCGCCCATGGACACCCGTAGCATCAGAGGAGCCACAAGTGGGTATTCTCAATAAATTGTATACCTTATATCATGACAAAAAAAAAGAGTGGAATTCTTTGCCAGAGTCTGTATTTCCTGAAGGGTATATATAACCTGGGAGTCTTCAAGGCCCGAGTGAATAGGTTGCTTATGGGACGACGTGCTCCATCGTAGACCACATCATCACTTACCACCAGGCGAGATAGTGGTCAAACGTCGCCCCATTAAATATAAAAAAAAAATTGACCTTAAGCCTCGAGGCCCAGTAGAAATATTATTGCACGTCTACCATTTATAGCAATTTATACTTTATTGTCTTGTCTACAACGTTCAAGTTCTTAGTAGTGAATGGCGACAGCGCGATCTGTTCCCATGACCTATAAACGCTGTCTAGCTGACCACTTTTTTATGCTATAGGACCATCAACATGGCAAGACACCACCCAACCTTCTGCCTAATGAACCACAACTCCAGAAAGAAAAAGATGATCCAGTCTCATCATCCTCCTATACCCTGGCCAGTGACAGCAGTCAGTACAGCCGCGATGTAGACCTCTGGCTGAGGGGATCTCCAACTGAGAGTACTGGTGTTCAGAACAGCAGGTATAGTAGGTCATCTTTATTATCTGCTCTGATGACAAGCTGCTTGGTATGTGATGAAAAGGCCGTGACGATGGTACAATAGAGTACAATACAATAATCACCGCGCATAGTCTTCCCATGGGTGTCGTTGGAGCCTGAGGGAAGGAGAATGTACTTGACAGAGACTGGGCAGCAGCGTTCTGTGATATACCTGAACCTTTTAATCTCGCCTGTGAAACCTAGAAATTACTCTTACCTTTGTAGCATTAAATATATAATAATATTTTTTTTCTTAAACTACATTTCAAAAAACCGACTTCATACTCCCCACTCCCCCTTTTTGAGGTCAGTTTATTAATGTAATAAAACCTGCCCCTACGTGTAAAGTCAAAGTCAAGGACTAAGTCAAAGTCAAAATCATTTATTTCAATTAGACCAAGAAGGCACTTTTGAACGTGAAAACAAAATATTTAAGTATTAAAGAAAAAATTTCATTGTAACTTTCGTGAGACATACTAAATAAATTATTATGTTTTCGGCTTACTCACGTAATTATTTGACGAGGAACTCGACTAGTTTCAAGCCATGCTAGAGGTTCATATTCATGAGCAGCATTTCGCGACCCGCGACGCGGCGCGCGTAGGCTGAAAAAATTTCAGTTTATCGGTCAGTCCTCTAGTAAAGCTATTTGTAAAAAAGACTTTTCTGAAAACCGTATCAAAATCGATTCAGCCAATCGCGAGATAATTGGACACAAAAGTTACATACATACAGGTCAAACTGTGAATCTCCTTCTTTTTTGAAGTCGGTTAAAAAAATATCCCCATTGTGTCCAATCACATTAACTCTTGTTTGATCGTGATTCCAGGGTCGCAGTGGTCCAGCGCTCCACCATAGCTCCATCATCATCACTGGACGGCATGTGGTACATCATTGCAATGGTACTGCCTATGTTCAGCGTCAATAACTGCATCCAGTGGAGGTGTACGCCAAGGTAAATTGTGCTTTATGTTTTGGCTGTTTAGGATGGAATTTATAATCTTAGTGTACCTTACATTCTTTGGAATATAGTCTGGAATTAAACGGTTTAGGAAAAAATGCGTGAGACCTACATTATTGGAACATTAAAAAATACATATTAATACTAAATGGCCCGTATCGCAATTATGTATGAAACTTACAGCACTTTATGAAGGTTCCAATAATAAGAAACCCGCTTTTACCGCCATCTGTCTTCATTATGGAACATTACAACAATAGCACGCTCGAATGCATTGTAAAAGGAACTCGAACGTTGCTACTCTCCCCAGCCCTTTCACTTCGCAGTTTCTTGTATAACTAAGAGATGGCGCTAAGGGCGAGATTATTGAAGTAAAATACATACTATTACTTTAAAATTACTTTTTCAAATGATAAAGATGTATTCTAAATTAAGTCGTAATACTGTTACCATTTATATATTTTATATAATGAGTAAATAAGTAGATAGATTACAACTGAAATATCCTATGGAACGAGGTTTCTTCTATTCGGTGCAAAATAATTATTGCTTTAATACTTACCCATGCCTATCTGAAGGATCAATTGGATCACGAAGCTAAAACTTTTTCTACTTCCAGCACCGTCCTGAACGCAGCAGAATTCTTCCTGAATCAACTTTCCCGATTGTGTCGCCATGCCCGCAGTCACATACGTCGTCTGGCCGGAGACCAGATAGCCCGAGACCTCTTTGCAACAGCAATGGACATCGTGCTGGTGGTCTACGCCATCGGATTCCTAGTGTTATCCCTGTACCAAGCTTCCATTATCGGTTAAATTTCAATGAAGAAAGAAGTTCGAAGTCCAATATCAAAACAGTGAAGTCAAAAATTGCATGTGTCCCGTAATTTATTAAGGTTATATCAGTTTATTTAAAAACTTTTGGGTGAAATTGCAGTTTTATTTATACTACCTAGACTAGACTTCGGCCGCATGGAAAAAGTAGCCTAGGTTACTCCTTAGTACATTAACAACCTGCCAATAAAAGAATAGAAGTCTCAATAAATTATTATGTTTTCGGCTTACTCACGTAATAATTTGACGAGGAACTCGACTAGTTTCAAGCCGTGCTAAAGGCTTGTATTCTTGAGCAGCATTTCGCGATCCGCGACGCGGCGACTGTCGCGCTGCTACTGTTTTTACGTGACTAAGCCGAAAACTTAATAATTTATTTAGTATGTCTCACGAAAGTTATATTACAAAAATAGAAGTCCCATCAAAAAAGACATAAGCCAGAACTTAAAACAGGGTGTAGCTGTTTAGCTTTCTTCTGCCTTTGTTCAATCCTATTTTATTTATTTTTTTTGATGGGGAAAATCATCCAATGACTTCTCCCGCCCGGGTGAGGCGAGAGGGAGTGTCAGACTCTTACTGACTAAAAACCACCCCGTTCCTACTTCTGCACTTCGAGCCGGAGCCCCGGCAACCCGTTAAGTCTTCCGCGGCTCCGTATCGGCATCAGCCCTGTTAGGCCCCGTCTGTGGTGGTCTGATGGCCGTCTTTGTTCAATTATGTGTTTAATATTTACCTTCAAAAAAATTAATTAATTATTTATTATTACCTACAAACTTCCCTTCAGTTAATACAGTTAATTTATCTACCTCTATTATCTTTATTTCTTAACACATGTTCATATGTACTTCAGATAGCATAATAATTATGCATCTTCCTAGGAAAATTTTAGTATTCAATATGTGTATGACTCAGTTAGCTAACAATTATGATAAAACTAGCTTTTGCCTGCAACTTTGTTCGTTTAAATATCTGATACGGAAATACCACGTGGGGCATTTCTATATCAGGCTTTTTGTAAGAAATCTGTGCCAAATCTCAGTAAAATCAGTTACCTAAGTCATTTAGAGTAAATATACATAAATAGACATCGATATTTATTTATTTATTTATTAAAGGGACATCAACAGTATACATATTATACAGTAGCCATAACAGTGTTGAATACAAAATATTAAAAAGTCTGATATGCATACCAGTGATAGATATACATAACACTCACGGGATCATAAATTCCATGTATTAAAAATAATAATTAAGTATACGTATTCCTTTTTATAAGGCCGGCAACGCACACCCGCAACACCTCTGGTGTTGCGGGTGTGCGTTTGGCTTTACAAATCGATAGTGTTTCATGGACCAGTTTGAACCTCCAAGGGATTAAAACGATTTAAATTTAACGGTGTATAATTATCTATATACTAGCTACTTCCGCGCAGTTTCAAACGCTCTGCTCAGCTCCTATTGGTCGTAGCATGATGTTTTATAGCCTATAGCCATCCTCGATAAATGCACTATCTAACGCAAAAATAATTATTCGAATCAGACTTGTAGTTACGGAGATTAGCACGTTCAAACAAACAAACAAAAAAACAAACTCTTCCGCTTTATATAATAGTATAAGAGTATAAGATAATAGTATAAGATGAACAAACATTTGCGCATCAATTTATTATGATATTAAAATGATTACCTACCAATGTAATGTATGCAGCTAATGATCAAGCAACACGATTTAATTTTCTAATTAGTGTTGCAAATCCTTTTTGTTTAACATTGATTACTAATACATAGTAGAAGGCAATTATTCTTGTTTCTATAGAAAAATCCATAATGGATCAAAATAATTTATGTTAAGTTATGCCACGAAGTAGCTTACTTTGGTATAGTTGTTTCTGAAGCCAATTTTCAGAAGTTTTAATTAAGAGATTTTTTATTCTTTATTCTTTATTCTTTATTTGCTCAATGTGGTACATGATATAGATGTTACATACAATATATTTAGATCAGCACATTTACCATTATTGGCATGCAAATTGGGTACATTTAATCTTTACTGTAGATTAAAATAAAATACATGAAGGCTACAATTTTGGTTCATAAACTAAGTACACTTACTGCTCTTATTTATTTCTTTCTTTAAAACTAAAAGATTTACATTTGTTTTTTTCTAAAAATTCGTGGATTGAGTAGTAATTTTCTTTAATTAGCCATTGCTTTAATACATTACAAAATGTCTTATACGGAAGTTCAGTTATAGATTTAGGCAACGTATTATAAATTAGAGGAGCCATATAAACACAATTCCGTCTAAATAACTCCAATCTAGGTGAAGGCACTTGAAGAAGTACGCATGTTGCTTTTCTCTTATTTACATTATCTTTAACTTGAAAAAGCGAAGGATTGGTTCTTATGAATTTAGCAATTTCATAAATATAAATGGACGGGACAGTTAACAGCTTATTAGACTGAAATACAGGCCTACAGGATTCAGACCATTTCAAATTAAATATTGCCCGAATGCATTTTTTCTGCGCTATAAACACTCTAGAAATATCCGTAGAATTTCCCCAAACAATTATTCCATAACGAATTATTGAACAAACATACGCATGGTAAACAAGAATAGCCGTACACCTTGATGTAACGTCTTTAACCTTTCTAAAGCAAAGATAAACTTATTAATCTTATTACAAATATTATCTATATGGATTTTCCATGTAAGGTGTTCGTCAAGAATAACCCCTAGAAACCTTGCACTGCGAACCTGTTCAATCATTTGACCATCATATGCAATATTTAAATGTATGTGTTTACTTTTCCAAGTTTTAAATTTTAATACATTCGTTTTCGTTACATTTATTCTTAGTTTGTTAATGTCTAACCAATTAGTAATATCTTTTATTGACTCATTTATAATGGTATCATAGTTTTGTGGATTTTTGGTTTCTATGATTACTGTGGTGTCATCCGCAAATAGAACACACTGATGTTTAATTGCTTGTGGTAAATCATTTACATAAATTAAGAATAATAATGGTCCCAAAATACTCCCCTGCGGTACACCGCATCGATTTATGAGTGGTTTAGAATCAAATATTTCTAATGTGTTACTTATCTCATTAAATTTTGTAATTCTGGTTATCTGTTTCCTATTACTTAAATATGATTCGAACCATTTTTGAGCTGAACCTCTGATACCATATCTTTCCATTTTCTCAATCAATATTGGATGATTTACTAGATCAAACGCCTTACTAAGGTCCAGAAGTAGTGCACAAGAAGACGTGTTAGAGTTAATACTATTCATTACTGCTCTTACAAGTGTATATATAGCTAACGTTGTTGATTTATTTTGTTGAAAACCATACTGCTCCTTTGCTAGAATATTAAACTTATTTAAATATTTAAGCACCCTTTTATACATAATTCTCTCGAATACCTTCGACAAGATTGGAGTTAATGCTATAGGTCTATAGTTATTTACATCAGATTTGGAACCTTTTTTGTGTAACGGTTTTATCAACGACATTTTTAACCTATCAGGGAAACATCCTTGTTCAAGAGATAGGTTGATGATATGAGCTAGTGGTGGTGATATATACTGGGATATACATTTGATTAAATCTGTTGAAATACCATCAAACCCGCAGGATTTTGTGTTTTTTAAGTTCCTGATTATCTGACAGACCTCAACATCGTCACTAGGTTCGACAAAAATACTTTTATCATGTGAGGTTACATTGGAAATTTTTATTTTACTATTGTCAATATTATTGGAACCTTCATAATTAGCAACGTCAACGAAAAATGTATTAAACGTATCAGCAATATCTGAGCCAGACGCAATAATAGTGTTTCTATATTTAAGAACATCCAGACTATCTCTACCTTTTATTTTACCCGTGTTGCGCTTTACAACGTTCCATGTAGCTTTTACTTTATTATGAGACTGAGCTATATGTCTTTGATTACATAGTGCTTGGAGATTATACATACACTTTTTTAATATTTTAGAATAGTTCTTAAACCTATTTTTATTTTCGTTATTTTTATTTAGGTAGTAGATAAATCGCAATGACCGCTTATTTTTGCTACTAGTTTTAATTCCTCTTGTTATCCATTTTGGTTTATTAAAATTGTATCTTTTTTTTACTCTTATACTCGGAAAACATAATTTATAAAATAATACAACAGGTCATGAAACTTTCCAAATGCTACATTTGTATCTGACGTCTCATAAACTTCACCAAAACTTAAGCAACTAATACAATCTATAAACTTATTTACATTTTCCTTGCTGAGATCATCCCTAATCACATAATAGTACCCTTTAACATCAATAGTTTGCTCAATAATTGTGACTGTTTGGGCTGTATTATGATCTGATAGATAAAAATTATGAGTTTCGCCAAGACAGTCGTCAATATTACCAATAATATTATCTATACATTTATTATGCCTAGTGGGTTCATTTATGTAATGCTGTACACCATAATTAAGCATCAGATCCTTAAAAGTGGTACTATTTTTATCTGATAATAACAAATCTATATTAAAATCTCCACAGATAATTATATTCTGTTTTTTATTGTGAAGTCTCGAAAGAGTCTTTTCAAGACTATCAAAAAATATGTTAACATCGGAGTTTGGGGTTCTGTATATACATATTATTATATTATTATTATTATATTATTATATTATTATTATCTTTGAAAGAAATGCTTTAGCTCTGCTAGATAATTGTCTTTAAGAATAGTTTAAGAAAAATAATATTTTCCTCCAGACTGATAGGGATATAATTTTAATACGTAATAATGACTTTAGATTTAAGATGAGTCAAAGTCAAAATCATTTATTTCAATTAGACCAGAAAGGCACTATTGATCGTCAACAAAAAAAATTAAAATTTAAGCTAATTGCTCATTTCAAGGTGTAGATTCCTATGTAGAAGAACGAGCAAGAAACTGTTTAGGTTACTCTTT